AGTATCGTAGTAGTGAACACCAACTCGTTTCTTATTGGTTGTCATACGGGTTTTCTGAAAACATGAGAATCAAAAGATTGTAGCATCATTGATTTAGGGAATCAAGGGTGGCGTAGCGTTATTGTACTTGTCTCTCACCCCTGGGGTTCGATTACCAGAGTAAGCATCACATGTGAGTAGAGTTTGTTAGATCTCTCCCATTCCAGTTTTCTTGCCTCCACGAAACCACTAATTCTAATTCAATCTGTGAGTTTGTCATGCCCCGACTTCGATCAGCCCAGAGGTTGTTTCAGTGTTCAATCTGTGAGTTAGTCATGCCCCGACTTTGATCAGACCAGAGGTTGTTTCAGGGTTCAATCTGTGAGTTAGCCGTTCCCTCACTTTGATCAGCCTAGAGGTTGTTTCAGAGTTCAATCTGTAATTTAGCCGTTCCCTGACTTTGATCAGCCTAGAGGCTGTTTCAGGGTTCAGGTGAGTTAGCTGTGACTTAGATCAGCCTAGAGGTTGTTTCAGAGTTCAATCTGTAATTTAGCCGTTCCCTGACTTTGATCAGCCTAGAGGCTGTTTCAGGGTTCAGGTGAGTTAGCTGTGCCCTGATCATCCCATAGGCTGTTTTAGGTTTATTGCACACATATATATATATTTTTTCGTACGAAATCCAGGTGATTACGTATCCCAATAGGGGCACTTTCAGTTGTTTCGCCCTTAAATATGACAGCCGTGAAACCCAGCCCCTTGGTCATGCTATGTTACTCATCATTCCCACACCTTTATCTTAGGAGATTCCTCTTTTTCCTCTTCCTTAGACTCTTCTCCTCTTCTTTTTCTAGTTTTTCCTTTACTCGGAACCTGACTTGACCCTACAAGAGATCAAGACACAAGGTTGATTGTAACTGGTATAACGTCATCTTGTATACACATTCGAGCTTTAGATATCGGGTCTTTACAGTCTGGAGACTGTGTTAACACTTATATGTAACCACATGCATGATGTTACCATTGATAATACTTAACTAATGGTGGTGATGTTTGGTGCTTTGTTGTGGTTGATGGAGAATAAAGATGGTAATGATGATGATGGTAATGGTGATGGCAATAAGGTGATGATGATAGAGATCATAAAAATGATGATGATAAGGATGGAAATGTTTCTGCTGCTGATGTGATGATGATATGACGATGATTGATGCTGCTGGGGCTGATGTTAATGGTGCTTCTGATAATGATGTGATAATGATGATGTGATGATGATTATGATGATGGCGGTGCTGATGTGATGATGTTGGTGTTGATGAAGATGATGATGATGGTGATGATAACGGAGATGATGCTGCTGTTGTTGATGATGGTGATGATGATGATGATGGCGGTGCTGTGATGATGTTGGTGTTGATGAAGATGGTGATGATAACGGTGATGTTGCTGTTGTTGATGATGGTGATAATGGTGATGATGTTGCTGATGGTGATGATGATGATGATGGTGGTGCTGATGTGATGATGTTGGTGTTGATGATGCTGTTGCTATGGTGGTGGTGACGATGATGATGATGATGTGACTATGATGAAGACGACAAYGACAATGATGATGATGTTGCCTGACGATACTGCTGATAGCAGTAGTGATAACGTAGCATTTACAAACGGAATGAACTTGATCTACCTTTAGTTTTCTTTGTATTCGTAATATGTTCTCTTTTCTTAGGAGATTCCACTTCCGAAGGGTTAATGTCTTCTTCCTCTTCTAACGCCTCGACGCAGGCAACAAACGGGCTCATGGATACAGAATACYTCTTCTTGGACGGTGTTGTCCAGTATTTACTATTCACAGGACGAGGTGTTGTCTCCGCTTCTAAATGAACCAGCAAGAAATCTATTAAGTACATCGCAGTGACTCAGGTCAACACTCAATCATTGCTTGGTATCAATCAGTTGAATGAATCTCATGAATTTCTCAAGGAAAACTGTACAAACACTGCTCATCATGTGCTGATAACCAGAGACTTGGTATATTTAATGGCGTTACCTGTTTTCTGATAGGAATCCTTGGTGTTATCTTCGCTTTCTTCGTCGCTTTCGGCCTCGTCTGGAGAACTATCGATGTCATCTTGTTGTTCCATAGCCTCCTTCAGTTCTTCCCATTCACCAACATCAAAGTACTCCTTGCTTGAATGTACTTGTCCAGTAGTCATGTCTATTACTGACACACTACGGCAAAAAACAGTGAATTGCAATAAACACTTAGAAGCCTAGTGTAGCAGGGGCCAAATCCAGGAATGATACAAGAAGTGACTAGTCACCCCCCTTTTTGCTCAAAATTCTCAGTATATCGTTCCCCCTTTTTTCTCGAATTCCTGGTAAAACCTTTGTAATAGTCTTACCCCCCTTTTAAAATTCCTGGATCCGTCCCTGTGTAGAGAGAACATTGTAATTGAAGTGTGTGTACGCGTGAGAGTGAAGTGTGTACGAGTAGAATTGTGTGTGATTTGAGTTGAACAAATTATATACATCTTATACAAACTAAGTTTTCTTCAATTTTCCTTTGGTCGAAGATTCTTTTTTTCAATTATATGTCAAATAAAAAAATAATCTTAGCATCGGTATTTTTCATTTACCTTTCTTTTGGTTCCTTTTTCTCCTCAGGTTTTTTCTTTGCGTCTTTAGTTTTCGTTGTCATGAGGATATTATCTGTGTTGTCGCTGACGTCATCGGCATCATTATGGCCAATAGTATTGTTAATATTATCTTTATTATTATGAGCATCATTGCCATCGAAACTATCACCACCAACATCATCAGCATCATCTTCAATCTTTTTGTTAACATCTTCATTAATATCTTTGTCTTCAATGCCATCACCACCATCCTCCTCGCCCTCCATATCTACCTCCTCCTCATCATCGTCAGCCTCCTCATCATCGTCAGCCTCATCATCATCGTCAGCCTCATCATCATCACCACCATCATCATCATCATTACTGCCGTTGTCATCGAGTGGTTTAACGTCTTCGCCTTCAAACTCGGGAGCAACACAGATCGTACTAAAATCTTGCTTCACGCGGAACGAGCCGGTTTTGCCTTGTTCAATTCCTTTTGTGTTGTTATTGTTTTCATTTTCGTCTTGCTTCACTTCGTCTGTACTCTCTGTAGTTTCAGTACTATTTTGGTTTGTCATGTCAGGTTCACTTGCATCTTTATTAAGGTCTTCAGCCTGAAGCGAGAAATTCATTTTAAAGAACGTGTTGGATGGCAGGCTACAGCAACCAGTCTCACCACAGGAAACCCACTTAATTTGATAATAGTAAGTGACAGATGACTAGATCAATAAATACCGTCTTATCTGTATGTTCTTGACCAGTAGACTTGACAAAACTACTCGACAGTGGAGGGATTTGCAATTCCTTTTGTTTTGTCTTCTTTTCTTTAACAGGACGAGGGTTTGTGTCGTCTCCTTCCTGAACAATTGAGGAAAACACTCAAGTTCTATTCATTTTTTTTTTTCTTTTGAAAATATCTTATGAAAAAACATTTTCCATTTCAGACTACGTGTTATTTTCTCAGGGATGAAATTGATGGTTCCGAGTGTAAGTCCAGAATAGTTTCGCATTCGATGCATGCGGCTGTTTTTGAAGACCACAGACTCATTTGCACAGGTTTAGCCTCGTTTATATGTCAGCTATTCACAGATAAAATTAAGCTCAATAGACCTATCCCGAATTCGCTTGACTGACCACGAAACAATGGTTTGAAGACTGGACTTGATTCTTTTATTCATCAAGTACAACCTCGACTTGAAACCATTGTTTCGTGATCAGTCAAGCGAATTCGGGATAGGTCTATTTTCACATTCTTTACATTATACGGTTGAGTTTTGCATATGATTTGCACTTAAATGAGGCTAAGGCTGTACAGATGAGTCTTCAGTCATAAAACACAGCAGTATTAGCTGAATGAGACTCGTTCCCCAAATAACTACATAATATCTGTTTTGAAGAATTACAAAGCAATTTTTAAAAAAATGGATTCATAGAGCAGTCTAAAGCATATGAATTTCCCGCTATCACAGTTATAGATTCTGAGATATTTTTGCCAATGCTTTCAGCTTGTTGGACATAGCAACGGTAACTAAGGGGAGCAGTCATCTATATTATGTATCTTCTTAAAGTATTAACGGTTAACAAAGAAATAATGCTCAAGAGAATGACACATGGTCTGAGGAGATCAATATTACGTCCAAGCTGCACGGGGTCATCTATTAGCACGATCAATAGTACCTGTTTGGGTGGTGCAACAAAGTATGGTATTTTTCCTCTTTGAAAGTCATTCAGGATCATCTTCGCTACAGTATTTACATCGGGCTCTCCTCCCTAAAATACAAAAAAATATCATTTCCAATCCCGTACTCCCCTTAGTACTCCCCTTAGTACTCCCTTAGTACTCCCCTTAGTACTCCCCTTAGTACTCCCTTAGTACTCCCCTTAGTACTCCCCTTAGTATTCCACTTGCTCTCAAAGGAACGGCTCCTGGTTTAAATCTTTTTTTAAATTTTTTTTACAGCTGGTTTTTTTTTTTTTTTTTTTTTTTTTTTTTTTACTAGATTTTTTACAAATTGACAAGTGTACA